TCTCCCCTTTTTCCGCTTTCCCTTCCCACTCTGAAGCAGCTCAGATCCCTCAAATTCCAGGAGCTCCCTCCRYTCCCGGCCCATCAAACTACAGGAAYGAGGAGCCCCCACGTGACCCTGGAGCCGCATTCCCATGATTTACAGGCAGAATTAACGGAACTCCACATCTCCAGCAGCTCTGCCCAGGCTCTCCCAGATCCATCCAGCTCCTCCAGCACCCAGAGCTGCTGCTGGAGCTTCGGGAAGTTCCAAAAGTCCGGGAGCAAGAAAACACAGGGTGAAAAATGGGAAAAAGACCTTAAAATCACGAAAGAATTTGGCAAATCCTGAGACGCTCCATGAAAAACCCAACTTCCCAAAGGCAGGAAGCTTCCTGGGAAAGGAGAAAAAGGGAAAAAACCCTGGAAGAAAGGGGGAGGATTTGTGGGGATAAAAATAAAAGCAGGGATATTTTTGCCCTTCCCATCCCCGCCGAGGTTCCTCGGAGCAGCGTTTGCTCCGGAGCTTCAGCCGCTCCCGCATCCCTCCTCGCAGGGGGGATTATGCAAATCCAGCCCCAGCTCCCAGGGAAAGTGGGTTAATCCAATATTACCGAGTGGAAAAGGGAAGGAGAAACCCGGTGGAGACGGTGCAGCCGACAGAAAAAAATTGCTCCCTGAAAAAGGGGGCAGACGGAGCCAATTCCGAGTGGGAATTTCAGATTTGGGGCAGGTTTGGGGTTCTGTTCTTTGCCTGCGTCTCCTGTCCAGCACTGAGGTGTCCATCCATAAATAATTACAGGGAAATCCATCCCAGATTCCATGGAAATATTTCCGCTCATCACATTCCAAGAACCGGATTTGTATTCGTCCAGAGAGCTCCTTTCCCAATTTATTAACCCAGGAATGGAGAAGAGAGGTGGAAAAGGGCTGCTCATTGCTCAGGGAGCAGGAATGGGATGGGAAATCCATGGAAAAACATTCCCAGCTGCTCCATCCCATGCCACCAGCACCACTCGCCCTTCTGTTGCCACATCCAGAAGTTTTTCCCAGAAAACTTGGGGATTTTTCAGATAAAACYATTTTACGGTTGGAAGCTTATCCTGAATTTCCGAGAAAGCTCRGGATTGCTGTAACTGAGGCTGGATCAAGGTTTGATCCAGGGGTAGCTCCAGCCTCCAAATCCGCCTTCCCAAAAATCCCCCTCCAAATTCCAAATCCCCCTCTTTCCAAATAAAATTGCATTCCAAATCCTCCTTTCCTAAAAAAACCCCCATGGCTTCCAAATCCCTTTTTTCCCAAATAAAACAGGCCTCCAAATCCCTCTTTCCCAAATAAGTCAGCCTCCAAATTCCCTCTTCCAAAAAACACCCAGGCTCCAAATCCATCCTTTCCCAAATAAAACCACTTYCCAAATCCCTGTCTTCCCATATAAAACCAGTCTCTAAAGCCCCCTTTTCCAAATAAAACCAACCTCCAAATTGCCCTTCCCTGGGGAAAAAACCTGGCCAAAATCCCCCTCTTTCCAAATAAAAACGGCCTCAAATCCCCCTTTTCCCAAATAAATCCAACCTCCAAATCCCCTCTTTCCAAATAAAATTGGCCTCCAAAATTGCCTCTTCCCCAAAAACAAAGCAGTCTCCAAATCCACACTTTTCCAAATAAAATCAGCCTCCAAATCCCCTCTTCCTAAGTAAAACAAGTTTCCAAATAATCTTCTTCCTAAATAAAACCAACCTCCAAATTCCCCTTCCCAAAAAAAAACTGGCTTCCAAATTATCCTCTTCCTAAATTAAACCAGTCTCCAAATCCCCCCTTTCCCAAATAAAACCATTTCCAAATCCCCTCTTCCCAAACAAAACTGGCCTCCAAATCCCCCCTTTCCCAAAAAAATCCCCAGGAGCTTCCCTCCTCACCAACATCCCAAATTCCCAAAGACTTTGGGAACAGGGAMAGTTTTTTCTTCCAAAATCTCAATGTGAAGAGCTCTGAACTTCTCCCCAAACCCAAGATATCCCAAATTTTCCCGATTCCCCCCTTTTCCCCATCACTTCCCACCCACTAAACTGGCAGAGCAGTGCTCACCTCAGCTCCTGCTTCCCAATCCTGACCCAGCACGGAGCCRCACCCGCCATCCCTAAATCCACCCAGAATCCACACTGAAAACCTGGAAAAACCCTCCCGGAGCCCTGGGGATGATCCCAAAGCCACCCTGCATCCCTCCCATCCCCGTTTTCTGAAGGCCAGCCCGGCTGCCTGGAATTGAAATTCCCATCAGCCAGAGCCTCGTTYGCTTTTCCCGCCTGATCCAGCCTCGACCTTGAGCTCCCGAGGAATGGAGCAGCCGGGCTGGCTCTGAGTCATTCCTGCTATTCCTGTTATTCCAGTTATTCCCGTTAATCCCATTATTTCCATAATTCCCATCGTTCTTGTTATTCCCATCATTCCTGTCACTCCCGTCATTCCCGTCATTCCTCTTATTCCCATTATTTCCATAATTCCTGTTATTCCCATCATTCCTGCTATTCCTGTCATTCCCATTATTCTTGTTAATCCTGTCATTCCCATCATTCTTGTGTTATTCCCATCATTCCTGTCATTCCTGTTATTCCCATTATTCTCATCATTCCTGTTATTCCCGTTATTCCTGTTATTTCCATCATTCCCATTATTCCTGTCATTCCTGTCATTCCCATCATTTCCGTTATCCTTTTATTCCCATCATTCCCATCATTCCCATAATTCCCATTATTCCCATAATTCCCATAATTCCCATCATTCCTGTCATTCCCATAATTCCCATAATTCCCATAATTCCCATTTTCCCCATTATTCCCATCATTTGCCTTATTTCCGTTATTCCCATCATTCCTGTCATTCCTATTATTCCTGTTATTCCCATCATTCCCGTCATTCCCGTCATTCCCATTATTCCCATCATTCCCATCATTCCCGCCATTCCCATTATTCCCATTATTCCCGTTATTCCCGCTATTCCCGTCATTCCCGAGGGCCGCTCACACTCACCCGGTACCAGACGATTTCCCGCATTTTCCCGTCGGTTTTGAAGTTGCATTTCAGGGTCACGGCGTCTCCCACCACCACGGGCGGCAGCGGCTCGATGCTGACGGTCAGATAGGCTGCAAAAGCGGGAACAGAGAGCTCAGCTCCTCCGGGAAATTTTGGGGTTAAAAGGTTTTCCATTTTTTTTTTTTTTAATGGAATAATGGGGAACCAGTGCTGTTGTATCACAGGAAATGCCCCGCCAAAACCTGACCCCTCACAGGGATCATTTTGGGCCGCTTCCAACCATCCCAAAAATTCCAAATTGAAGAGCACCCTTCCCAAATTGGGGGAAATCCCAGCCAGCGCCATTCCCACCGCAAATTCCCATGCTTCCTGTGGAATTCCTGGTTTTGCCTTGGGCTCCGTCCCCGGCCCCTCACTGCCTCTCTTCCCATTCCCGCCCTGTGCTTCCATAAAACCTTCCCCATCCCTCATTCCCGATGGGAATGGGTCCAGCAGCTCCTCGGAGGACACACAAACCCCATCCCGAAGTTTTCCAGCTCCTTCCCCATCTCCCCACACCTGGGCGCCGGATCCAGAGGGAAAATTAGAGCTAGGGTAGGTTCATCCGTCCCTTTCTTCCCCTTTTCCCCTCGATTTTCTGGGAAATCAGGAGCAACGGGACAGGAAATCGCATTCCTGGTTTATTTTCCTGCCTTTCCTCTAGCTGCCGGGAGATGATGGATTGACAGATCCCAGCCTTTCCTTGGAATCCTTATTTAACACCGGAACATCCCAAAATAACCCACCCCAAATTCCCTCTTTTTTTCTTTTTTTAACCAATGCACCAGGTGGGAAAACAGCCGAGAAAAAGTCGGGAAAACAGGAGCAGGTTTGGAAACGGGGCTGGAAACCAGAGATTCCTTGTCGGGAGCTGCCCTGGAAGGGGGGAAGGTGAATTCCCGGGATTTTTTTGTGCCTCCCGGGCGGCGATCCGGGGCTCGGCGTTCCTTGTAAAACAACCTGGAGGTGTTTGTGCCATAAATCCCAGGCACGACCCGCGGCAGAGCACGCTCCGGGAACACGTGCCGGCTGCGGCAGCAGGGCAGCGTGGCCCGGAATATTGAACACCGGGATAAAACCGGGATAAAATCCCTTTTTGTGCTGTCTCGGGGAGGGGGCTGCGGGAACGGCTCTGCGCAAGGGAATGCGGGAAAAATACAGGGATTTTTGTTTTTTTTGGGAGGATTGTTCAAGGGGCAGGGATGAGGGTTAAATCCATTTTCAGCCCCAAAATGATGCTTGGGATGACGGAATTTCAACGCCACGTCCTGGAATGCCTGTTCTTCTCGCCCAGATCCCGGCCGGCATTCCCTGCCCGTCTGGGGCCGGCGCCTTTCCAGCCTCTCCCTCCCCGCCCGGGGTTTATTTTTGTTCCTAAAGCYGGGATTAATTCCCGGCCATTGCCGAGGCTGCGCGAGGGCCCCTTGGATTCGGGGGATGGAAAAGGCAGGGACGAGAGACGGAGCAGGGAAAGGAGGAGGAGGAGGAGGGATGGAGGAAGGGCAGCCGAGGTCTCTCCGGCTGCCCCGATTCCCCTCGCTCGGCTTTTGACATTTTCCCGGGATGAGCAACAGGCTCGGGAGAGCGGCGGGGGGATGAGCAAATCCTTGGCAGCGCGGCCGGGATCCGCCCCGAGGAAATCGGGATGGAGGCTCCGTGCGTGCGGAAAAGCTCGGCCCTTCCACGGACCGGGACCACAGCTCCCTCCCGCCCCCGGCCCGGAGCAGCCATGGGAGATTAAAGGGAACCGAGGCCGGAGCAGGGATTGGGTTTTCTTTCATTCCCAGGAATTACAGAGATACAGCATTTCCCAGAGCAGCAATTCCAGATGTTTTCCGTCCCTTTTCCCATGGCATTCCATCCCAAACCCCATGCACTGCCATGGGAAAGGGATCGTCTAGTTGGAGCAAAGATGGGATTTTCCCTCATTYCCAGGAATTACAGAGATCYAGGATTTCCCAGAGCAGCAATTCCAGACATTTTCCATCCCTCTTCCCACATTCCCTTCTAGCCCCATGCATTGACATGGGAAGGGGATTCATCCCCATCCCAGTCCAGACASAACAAAGACTGGATTTTCCCTCGTTCCCAGGAATTATGGAACACCAGCAGTTCCCAGCTYRGAAAWGMARCAWTTCCAGATGTTTKTCATTCCTTTTCCCATGTTATTCCCTCCCAGACCTATGCACTGCCTTGGGAAAGGGATCCATCCCTATCCCAGATTGGATTTTCCCTCATTMCCAGGAATTATRGAGATCCAGGATTTCCTAAAGCAGCAATTCCAGATGTTTTCCATCCCTCTTCCGACATCATTCCCCTCCAGACGCGTGCACGGCCACATGAAGGGGATCCATCCCCTTCCCAATCCAGCCAGAGAAAAGATGGGATTTTTCCCTCTGTCCCAGGAATTATGGAGTACCAGCAGTTCCCAGCTCAGAAAAGCAACATTTCCAGATGTTTTCCATCCCTCTTCCCACGTTATTCCATTCCAGACCTGCACACAGCCACGGGAAGGGGATCCAACCCCATCCCAATCCAGCCAGAGCAAAGATTGGATTTTCCCTCATTCCCACAGGATCCAGGAGTTCCCAAAGAAGCAATTCCAGATGTTTTCCATCCCTCTTCCCACAATAATCCCCTCGAGATCCGCACACTGCCATGGGAAGGGGATCCATCCCCATCCCAGTTCAGCCAAGGGGTTTGGTGAGGTTTGGACCATTCCCTGATATTTAAACTCAAAAAGAACCAAGTTCAGGGCGGCCCCAGCCAATCCCACAYAGGAAATCCATCAATCCAAGCATTTTTCCAAGGAAGCCCCACTTCAAACCCATCTCTGACCTGCATTTTCTCTTTGGCCAAAAAAACCCCAAAGCAGGACTTTTCCACCCTTTACCCYCTCCATGTAAAACCACCTGGAGSCGGCAATGGGAGCAGCTTTCACCTTTATTCCTGGGAATTCCGGCCTGTCTGGGGCTTGAATCCGGACATTTGGTCCCTAAAAACATCAGAGCAGAATCACAGGGCCTTAAATMCAGCAGCTGGTCCGTAAAAACACCAGAGGAGAACCACGGGGCCTTAAATCCAGACAATTGGGCCCTAAAAACACCAGAACAGAACCATTGGACCTGAAATTCGGACAACTGGTCCCTAGAAACACCAGAGCAGAACCACAGGGSCTCAAATCCGGATATTGGATCCTAAAAACACCAGAGGAGAACCACGGGGCCTTAAATCCGGACAATTGGGCCCTAAAAACACCAAAGGATGCTCCTGAACAGATCCCACATGGAAAAGACAAAGCTCTGGATTTATCTCTGGGATTTATCTGTGGGATTTATTGCTCCAGTGCTGTGGGACCATGGAGAGCCGGTGCTGAAGCCCTGGCTGGACCTGGAAAAGGAGGGAATGGGAAAAATCCAAATTTTCCAAGAGCATCCCTGCTCGAAACTGGAGGAAAACCACATGAGAAAGTTGTGGGAGAGAAGAGRGAGAAGGGAACAGATGCCGAGTGCCTGAAACACCGAGGATGCGGGGAGGGGGAAATCAGGGAAAACAAAGCCAAGCGCCGGGAAAAAAACAGGAATCCAGATGGAGCCGTCCGAACCCCGCTGCTCGGCTGCGGCTGACGCGTGAATCCCGTCCCTCGTCCGCCCCTTCCCGCCAGGGAAYGGCTGCCAGGTGTCGGCACCGCTCCGAAGCCTCCCTCGGCTCCCTGGGGGATTTTTATTTTTTTTTGGGATTGGTTGAGAAGAACGAAGCATCAGTGATGGGAACGGCTGGATGGGAAGAATTCTTCCAAAAAGGATCAGAGCCCGTCTCGGATTTCTGTCATCCCTCACGTTATCCACATTTCCCTTATCAGCATCCCCTCGTCGGCCTCGCTCCYGCTTTGCCTTTGCTCTTTTCAATCCCAGATTTTGCCGTGAAAGCCGGGCCTGGCCTCCCCCCGGCTTGGATTCATCCCTCTGGAAATTGGTCCCTCTGATTAGAGCCGCATCCCTGGGGAGGAGAGGATATTTTTGCCGGGAATTGTGGCGCCATCCAGTTTGAGGGAGATATCAAAAAAAAGGGAAAAGGAGGGGGAAGGGAGGGATGAGGGAAATGTCCTTTGAAATCGGGAGTGACGCGTTCATAAAGGAGAACATCGAAATGAGCTCKGCGCTCCCAATTACCACAGAGCTCCCAGGGACGAGGCGGGAATTGCTCCAGCACTGGAAGCGCGGGATGAAGGATAAAAACCCTGTTCCCAGCCTTTTCCAGCATTCTGTGGGATTTCTGACTTCAGGAGCCCCGGGGGGATGTCCAGGGAAGGGGCACCTATGGCTGGACCCACCCCCAGGGCTGAGAATCCTGGAAAGGAGAGGAGGGAATGGGAATGGGGAATGGGAATGGGGAATGGGAATGGGAATGGGAATGGGAATGGGAATGGGAATGGGATTGGGAATGGGAAACAGGAATGGGCATGGGCATGGGAATGGGAAATGGGAATGGGAATGGGAATGGGAATGGGAATGGGAATGGGAATGGGAATGGGGAATGGGAATGGGGAATGAGAACGAGAATGGGGAATGGGAACAGGAATGGGGATGGGAATGGGAATGGGGAATGAGAACGAGAATGGGGAATGGGAACAGGAATGGGGATGGGAATGGGAATGGGAATCTCCCAAGGAAAGGCCGGGTGGCCTTGAAGCCTTCCAGGGAATCCTGGTGGAGAGAGGCCCCTCCACATCTCCCCCAGGCATTTGATCCCTTCCACCCCACAGAGAAATCCCAGATTTATTGATGGATGTAAATCCCATTCCCAGATTTCTTGCCTCCCTGCGCTTCCCGAAGAGCTGATTCCCAAACTGATGGGATCCTGGGATGGGAGGGGCAGGGCCACCTCCTGCTATCCCAGACTGCTCCAAACCCTGCCCAACCTCAGACAAAAATCCCCAGATGAGAATGGATTTTCCCCCTTTCTGTGTCCCCAAAGTCCAACCTGTCCCCATCCCTTTGGGAATGAGGGGACAGCGGACCCGAGCGGAGCCAGAGCTCGGGATGGAGTCAGAGAAGGGGACTCTCAGGGA